GAAGTATCTCCTATTTCAGAACCTTTAGAATTTAGCTTCCCCAAAAAACCTGACAATTTTTTCGATCAAAATTTTTTAGAACAAAATATCTTTGCTGAAAATTTAGACGAACAATTCCTTTCCTTTTTACCAATTTTTTAAAAAATTCTTAGTAAAGCTAGCAAAAAATTATGATAAGATCAAATTTATGCCTAATATAAAAACCATTTATAAATGTTTAATTCAATATGTTATTATGTAATTCTATAAATTAAGATTTAAGTTTAATAAGTTATAACGATAAATAAATTAGTAACATGCATTTCTATTTATGTAAATTGACTCGATACTTTTCTTGCTAGCATTCAATTACAATATTCTTAATCTTAAAATGTAAATATAAGTTTCTTTAGCAGATTATATATAAACTTATGAAAAATAATAAAAATTAGAAAATAATTTGGTATTACAAATGCTGACTAGAAAACAGTAAAAAACTAAAATTAGTGGTATTTTCGAACAGAACTTTGCACAATTGATTGGATCTCTCGTTCTATAGAATCGGATATTTGAAATAAGCAATTTGAATCGATCGTGAATAATCATAATGACATTTATATTTTTAAACAGTGTTCCAACAAAATAAATTTGTATTCGAGTGATCAAATCTATTGTTTAATATGGAAAATTTTTAAACAGTGTTCCAACAAAATAAATTTGTATTCGAGTGATCAAATCTATTGTTTAATATGGAAAAATTATAAAACACAATATCGGTACGTATGGAATTCAAGTGGTGCGTTGATGCAATGCTACTGAAACAATACGAATGTGCTCAAGCTGATTGATGTCAGCCAAGTAAACAAAGACTTTATACTGAGAGAGGTTTGTTAATTTGATTGATAAGAATTCTTTACTATAGCTTGATATATAAATATATGCTATTATAATGAAGGAATTTGACGGATACAAATTTAACTGAAAAAATGTTTACTGTGACAAGATTTATTCAAAAATATTTCTGGATTGCTGAACCTGGATATTTTTTATCCAACAAATACACCTCGTTTTTTTTCAGTTATGGATAAAAAGCAGCAGATTTTTTCATGATGAATGTAAGCATAAGATTAAATACAGTATAATATGATTAACTGCTATTATCGTTATCTATTTTACAAATTGTTGTGCACGCAGAATAAAGATAACCTTCATTCACAAAGAGGCAATTCATCAAAACTTTTAATCTGTGTTATGTACCATTCATAAACGCCGAATAGTTGGTATTTCTAAAAGGAACTTAATAAAGTTTATTTGACCAATTAATATCGATAACGACATGCGGAATATTTGATATTCATAAGTGGACATAATAAATCTATTTAACGTTATCGTAATATTTATATTCATCAAGTCGTGGGTAAAAAGATGTGGTTTATTGGATTATTTAACAGACTTCAGGTTTTTTTAACGATTTCAAATAAGTTGCACGTAAAATAAAATTTGCCAATAAAATCTCTTTAATAGTTCATGTGGTACTCTGACAAATCAACGTGTATCTGTGATGAATCTCATTCGTCATAAATTTGTCTCGTGAGGTATTGTGAGGTATTGTGAGGTGGCGTGCCTATAAATTGTACTACAAACAATTATCAGTGTTACTACGTATCAATGTTACTACCTATAAACAATTATCAATGTTAATACAAAATAAAGCGATAGCAGAGTTGGTAATTGGACAAATTGGACATCAATTGGACATAATATAGACAAAATAAACTGATAATTGGATATATGTCCAATTCCAATTCAAAACAATTGGACATATAAAGCTGACAACACTGAGTGATAGTGATGGTAAGAATAGTATAAAAAACTCTATCCTTTTGAAAAAGCTTCTAATTGTTTTGCTTTTGTTATAAAAATCAAATCAAAATTGCTTTATATACAATTTTAAAAGAATAAATTATACAAAATGAATCGACCACAAAACGCTCTCATAACCGATAGGCAACAAACTCGATCGCTGCAAAATCACTCACAAAATATACAGCAAAACCGACAATTGAATCAACAATTACTCCAGCAGCAACAGCAACCACCCGTACATTCAAATATAATTATAGGAACTGCTGATATTTTCAATAATCCGTCGACGGCAGTAGATCATCAAAATGACAATAATCTTTTGATCGTACTTTGTGATGCGTATCAGTAATAGGAACTCTTACGCTTTTTTACTTTTTGTTATATCATTGACATTTGGTCCTTTTCTTTCATACTTTTTTTATTTTTGCTTAAGCGAGTATGTAGACCTTTTACACGCGTAAATACCACACTTTTCGTTTTTGAATACATGCTGTTCTTTAGTGCATTACATCATTTTATTTAATTCATCCAAATATTTTAAGCTTCTTTCTTAATTTATCAATCAACCTATAATCATTTTTAATTTTCTTTTGTATAATATGAACTTCTCATTTATCTGAATCAATAATTACAGAGTTTGGTTTTTATTATTATGCACGTTACTTTACTTTTATTACCTCTCCATTAAATCCGGAATATTTGTCATATCGAGTGGTATAGTAAAAGTCGTGTGGTGATCGTTTATCGATTATCGATTAATATGCAAATTAGATTCATGTATCGAATATAAATATCGATATTGCAATTTTTTATTGCAAATCATAGCGGTAGCACAAAAAATATAGCACATGTATTGCTGATTTAAAAGAATAAGATAAGTAGACCGCTTTAACTTTAATTTCGATTCCATGATTACAAGCATCTCTAATGTTCTTGGCGTTAGACTCTAAAGTTTTAATTAGATACAAAGTAATTAACATTTTTTTATTTTATTGGAAGTGTTTCGTCATGAAATTGTTAATTTTTCTTGTACCATACTCGATATCTTTTTAATAAGATCAGAATCTGTTTTGTATCACAAGTAATGAATTAAAAATTAAGATTAAATGTAACTTTACCTTCATTTGGAACATACAAGCTATACTGATACTTAATATTCAAAAAATTAACATGAAATAACAATATGATTTATATTCAGCTAATTTAGAAGTAAGAATTTGACTGGTGTAAATTGCATTTAAGTGGATTTGTCGTTTTTTGTTCAAATATATTTACCATCCATTACTATCGAGTATTCACTCGTAGCTGGGTTTTTAGTTATTCCATAATACAGTCAAAGTATCCAACCCCTTCTAAATCATGCAAAATAAAAAAAATTAGACAATTTTGTTTGTTTAAACTACATAACTAACCCTAATTCTTAATGCATAGTATAGTTTCCATTGGTCTTTATTAGTGCCAAAACATAGCTTTTCATATTACTGGTCAATTTCATGACAAGTTCATTGGGAAGACAATTCCGTTCAATCGATTTTTAATGAATCATGATTAATGTACCAAAATTTTCCGAGTACATGTACAAAGAACATTACAAATGCTGATCATTGATACTTTTTATAAATTGATAGAGCTTCTATATCAGGTCTTGTATGTTCATAAACTTTTATGCCCTAAATACAATAAATCGGTCACTTTAGGACATAATATCTCAACGTCTAATGAGCTGATTTGAGCGAAAATACTACCATTCGATTTATTTAATCTAGCCAAATCAAATGGTGATATTTTCGCTCAAATCGGATCACTGGATGTCGAGATATTACATCCTAAAGTGGCAGATTCATATTTGTCGATCAATTTTTCATTAGAAATTGATCGCCAACGGAATAAATCGATCAATTTAGGATATACTATCTTGACATTCCAGTGATCCAATTTGAACAAAAATAATATATCCCATTCGATTTGTCTATTCAAGATAAATTGAATGGTATATATTATATTGGATCACTGGAAATTGAGATCCTAAATTTGCTGATTAATGTTTGTTAATGTCAATTGGTTGCTTTAGGACGCAATATTTCGACGTCCTGTGATCAGATTTGAACAAAAATATTACCATTCGATTCACCTCGACTAGACGAATTGAATGGTAGTATTTTTTATTCAAATCGGATCACTGGACGCTAAGAATTAGATTATTGGATATTGAGATATGTGTTATGAAATAACTGATTATATTTGGGACGTGAAAGTTTATGAACATATAATATCCGATATAGAAACTCTATCAATTTATAAAAAGTATCAATGATTAGCATTTGTAATGTTCTTTGTGCTCTGAAAATTTTGGTACATTAAACATGATCTATAGAAAGTTATGAAAGGGGGGGGGGTAGGTTACTTCTGACCTGCACTGTACCTAATTTGTTTACTCGTAAGTTGAAAATATTTCATGTATCGGTATATTTTTAAAAAAGACCAATTATTTGGAATATCAAGAATGAGGCAGTATAATTTAGAAATGCTATCAGTTAAACAAGTAAATACCTCTCTAAGTGCACCCCCCCCTTGGGACCATCTTAAAAAAAAGACAGTGTGTGTGTTTAGAGAGGGAGTGCATTTATAGAGAGTAAATAATTAGAGACCCTATAAGTTTGGGACTGAGCCATAGTGTGCATTTAGGGTGGATGTATACGTATAGTGTGTGCATTTATAGAGAGCGCGCTTAGGGAGGTTTCTCTGTATATTCTATTACCCTATATAAAGCAAAATAATTTTCTATTTATCATTTCTTACATGACAAACATAATTTTTCTTAATATTAGATTTTTTCATATCTACAATTTACTGTAGATAGCAGTCCGATAAATGAACATTCTAGCTCTATAGTTTTTGAGTCTTCACACGGTGACTGTTGATATAACAGATCGAGATCCAGAACAGTCTATAATAAATCACTGTTGATATAATGGATTTTGAAATTTTTTACTAATTAACTAAATCCAAAGTTTTCAACGATGATTTTTAACTATAACGTTGCAACATTTATTTATTTCCTGTTTTATTATTATTAAACCTAATTAAAAGAGATTATTAATTGTATTCTAATATACAGTACCGACCATAAGTATCCGAACGCCCGGCATTGCCCAAAATTATACTGGCGTTAAATGTAATACGACACCTGATCGTTTGTACATTTATCGATTCTTAAACCAAATACAATCAGTCATTTCATAACATACATCTCAATATCCAAGAAGCTAATTCTTGACATCCCGTGATCCGATTTGAACAAAATCCTACTATATATTCGATTTGTCTCGACTAGACGAATCGAATAGTAGAATTTTGTTCAAATCGGATCACTGGATTGTAATACCCTAGCCACGGCAAAAAGTATCGATCACGTGATTTGAATAGGTCTATTAAAATATCCGATTTATATTAGATATCAAGTATTGGGGTTAGGGTTAGATCTGAAATTAAGCTTATATATAAATTTGTCTTCCCGATATTTTTTGATAGTGTGCCAAGCTAGATTTAGATATCTGTTCTTTGTATTTTTCGCATTTTTTGTCTTTTATTTTCTTGTCGGATTGATCAAAAATTTGCTACATTCCTATTGGTTGCGCAGAAATTTTGCGCATTCTTATTGGTTGGAGCTGAGCACCATCACGTGACCGACACTATTCTTTGCCGTGGCTAGGGTATTAATCCAATTCGAATAAAAATAACGAGAAGTCTACGGCAGTGCTTAGGAACAGTGTAAAACACGTGGCCTTCAAAAATACACGTTCACATGATCACGGAAAATTAACGGTAAAGGTTATTTTATCGTTTGGGTTAGGGTTAGAGCTGAAGATAAGGTTATATGTAAGATTGCTTTTCCGACATTTTTTATTAGTACTTAAAGCTAGATTTTGACATCTGTTTCTCACATTTTATTTTCTTGTGTTAAAGACCACGTGATTCAACACTGTCCCGAAGCACTGTCCGCAGACTTCCCGTAAAAATAATACCATTCGATTCGCCTTGACTAATGGTATTATTTTCGCTCAAATCGGGTCGCTGGACGTCGAGATATTATATTCTAAAGTGACCGATTTATTGTATTTGGGGCATGGGGCATGAAATTTTATGAACATAAAATACCAAATATAGATCTATAAATATACAAGCAATCAGGTGTCGTATTACATTTAGCGCCTAGAAAATTTGGGAGATCGTTATACTATGATCGCTACTGTACTATTCTACACACACACCTTTTATTCTCTATAAGTTCTTTTACCCCTCCCAAATAGTTACTATCCAAATTCAATTTTAATTTTGCCCAAATCTCATGTCCAAATCCAAATACAAATCATTTTCATTTCATAAAGTGAACTCAAAAAGATCTTTCCGATCCTGATGATCTCGAAACCAATGAGGATGCGCAAATTTTTGATCAACCTGGCAAAACAAATCCGCAAACTTGGAGCAGTAACGGGAGAAGTGCGGAATGTTTCGGGTAATTGTTGTGGCCGGGAAAATCGATCGTGGGTGAGCTGGGTAGACTCAAATCAATATTATCGTTATTGCTAATTAGTCTAAAATTAGACCGATCGTCCGAAAATTTATTTAGTTCATCTACCATCACAACCGTGTTTTAGATATGTCGCGTCCACAAGAAAACTGTAATGTATATTTTTGACAACCCTAACTAATATTGATGAGTGGAGCATCTTGGGCTTTCACAAAGCGTGGCTTGTTCGGCACAAAGGCAATCCAAAAAAATTAATTTACCATAAAGCAAACGATGCTCTCACAGAGTTTGCACTTTCTTATAAATTGTAACGATGGAGCGAAGGTTCAGAAAGCAGCGCAACTAATGGCACACAAGGCAAGTATGAGAGAGATTTTGTGAGAAGATAAAAGTTCACATATATTCGCGACGGGTACGTGTTTTTCACTTTATTCGTAAACAACCAGTGGTTTGTCCATGCTAGAAGGAATTAACTTTTTGCTGATCTTTTGAATGCCTTTTTGGATGCATGGCTTGTCACAATAGCTGTAGATTTTATTGTTCCCTACCCCTGCTTTCTTTCCATAAAGGAAAAACGCCAATTAGGGAGTGACCTCGACGTTCTATGAACGCACCAGGAACTCGAACTCCATCAGAATCAATTAAAGTTGGTGCATTCTAGACTCGGGTATATCTCTATGGATTTTATCACAAAAGCACCAACGGCTGGCTGGAGGATGGTTATGCTGCATGAGAACGGGTATTGATATTAAGAAGGTTGATAATAGAGAGGGTTGACTGTAGAAGACATGATTTGAGCTCGAAGAAAAAAAATATTGTGATATGATCATCTAGGTCGTGTGATTAAAATGTGATTTGATTGGTGCATGATTTTTAAGGGGAATATCGGATGGTCGGCGCCGGGATCGGAATCACATGATCTGTCCTTTTTTTTCGCCATTACTTTACGAGTTAAAAACTCGAATCAAAATAATTGCGATTTTTAGATAGTATTGTTGTTCATCATGACTTTTTCATTTAAATTTAAAGTGAAAATAGCTCGGAATTTCAAAGGATTTTTTTCCTCCACAATATAACTAATAAAGATGACTACAAATATTTTGAATTTTAATGAGTCGTCAGATTCGCAGTCATTATTTCCAACACGAACAACTTGGGATGTTGACGGTGACTTGACAGAAACACTTTGGTGGTCGGCTGACAATAAATTAAATAATAAAGGCGAGGCCAATTTGGTGTTATTTATGATACCCGGCAATCCCGGAGCAATTGATTATTATATTCCTTTTTTGTCGACGATATATGAGGAGCACGAAAAGAAAATCGAAATTGTTGGAGGTGTGATTCATTTTAAAAATGTTAATTGGTCATAATGGAATCTGATTGGATTTATTTCGATTCAATAGTTTCGCATCTGGGCCATTCGCATGGACCACATCATGATTCATTGATTAAGTTATGGTCCCTTCAAGATCAAATTAATCACAAAATCAAATTCTTTGACATTTTATGCGAAAAATTTGCAATTGATGAGGGTGACAAAAAGATTTATCCACGGTTTATTTTGTGTGGTCATTCGATGGGCGCATACATATGCTCTCAGGTATATCGAAATATGATATTCTTAGTATAGAATTTATATGAAAAACGCCTGATATTTAATTTTCTCGTATTTTAGGTACTGAAAGCGCGTCCGGATCATATAGAACAGGCATATTTACTTTTTCCTACTTTACAGCATATCGCGAAAACTCCCAATGGCACTCAAATGATGGTAAATGTTTTCCTCACTCGGAATCAATAAATTATTCATTCCATACATCTTAATATCTGCTATTCTCTTTTATCCTCTAGTGGATGTTCTATGACATTTCAAGAAACATTCTCAGCATGTTCATTCACTCAATTCGCACTGTCCTGGGTCCAAACATGTTCAAATCACTAATACGCCTCATTACCGGTCAATCGGAGCCACATCTCTCTACCACAGCCGATCGTTTACTCCATTGGCATGTAGTGCAAAATACAATATATATGTCAGACACGGAAATGAAAACGATTCATGAGCTTGACGATAAATTCTTTCACGAGCATCTTAATAAATGCATCCTTTATTTCGGGAAGACAGATAACTGGGCGCCGTTAGAACACTATCATGATATGATTCGACGGTTTCCGAGTGGTAAAATTTTGTTGTGTGAAGTTGGAATGGAACATGCTTTTGTTTTAAGTAATGAGTTTCTTCTTTTGTTGGTTTGTTTTGTGTTTTTTGCCAAATTAACGACGCATGATTCTCTTTTTTATATAGAGCATAGTGAAGTAATGGGCAAGAAAGTAGCCCAATGGATCAAAGATCCTTGCACTAGTTAACGTTTATTAACTTATATTTTTATATCTAAATAAATAAATAAATAAATATTATTGCATTGAACTAAAGACATTGACAGAACATAATCCAAGAATTTGTAGTCGTATTCTTTATATTTTGATTTCAAAACTTATTCCACATCTATCAAAAACGAGAGTTCATAAATATTATTTTCGGATATACAAAGATAACCTCTAAAATGCTAAATCCAATAACTCACCCACACCCGGTCGCTGCTTGTGGATTATCTACAACCTTGAACTGTGATCCAATTAACTCTTCAGTGTAATCTATCTTTGAACCTTTAATCAGTCCAAGTGAAAGCGAATCTATGACTACCTTAGCACCATTATTCTCAAATAATCTGAATTCACGATAAATGGGAATATTCGAAATCAAAATTCAATCAATGTAATATTAATGGATAACATAAAAATAAGAGCATATAAAACTCTCACACGTCATCTTCTTTTAATGCGTTCACCGGCGTTAGGTCATAGAAATATTGAAATCCATGACATCCACCGGAATCAACAGTTATTCGTAATGCTTCATTGTCATGTTTGTCGCGGGCCATTAGAGATAGTAGTTGCTAGTAGATTTATTAAAGACGAAATAAGAGTCAAATTTCGAAGCAAAGCTTTGTATAATAACGAAAAAAAATTCGGAAACAGTAGAATGGCCAAAACTCACAAAAATATCATACTTTAACGGCCCGATCAGTTATTTCAATTTTCATTTCATTGCCTTGTCCGTCTTTTGGTGGGTTATTTACTACTGTAGTTGCAAAACTCCTCGTTAACCAAAAACTATTTATTAAAGGGGTTTTTATTCCCATGTTTTTGAAAATTGAGCGGCTAATATTTACTAACGCCATTAGCAAAAATAAGAAATGTTTATTGTGGAAGTGAACTTGTAAAGATAATACTTGGTCTCTATCTTGAACCAGTGATATTATATGTGGTAAGATATGCATGATGACAATTCATGAATATCATTATCGTTATGCTAAAAGACATGATACTATTGTTTGTTTCAAAACCATACGCATCAATTTAAATTATCGTTATATTTGATCGTGTTAAATATGAGACGTCGTGGTCTTGGGGCACTTGAGTTAAAAAAGCGTACTGATGTAAGTGCTCATTCAGGAATCTACTAGGCTTAAAATATGAACATCTAAATAACAGGCTATTTTGTTCACAAAAAGAAATATGATAAATTCAGTGATGACCTGGCTAAGTCACAAGCAGAACAGGCAAAGCTCGAGCTTTTGTGTTTCTTATAAGTTTATTTTTCAGAGAATCAATCTTCTGATAGTTTTTCTTTGATTAATTCAGTTTAAAATTCAACGAGAAATATTCAAAACAAATCTACAAGAATTTGCGCGTAAATATCGTAAAGATATACGAAAGGACCCACAATTTCGAATGCACTTTCAGAAAATGTGTAGCAACATTAATGTAGATCCATTAGCATGTTAGTTTATTATTGCTACTTTGACGATATCGTTAAGGAATTAATGTATAACAAATTTTATATTGAATCCTCAGCAAATAAAGGATTCTGGGCTGAACTCTTAGGCGTTGGTAATTTCTATTATGAATTAGGTATACAAATCATAGATGTGTGTTTATCAACTAGAGTAGGCAATGGTGGGCTCCTAGAATTAGGAGAATTAAAAAGGAGGCTCGAAAAGATGCGTAATGCCAGTGGAAGTTCGACATCTATACAGGAGATAAGCGAGTAAGCTGTAAATTTAATCACTACTCCCTATCATGGCAACGTTTATTCTTGGGCTAATTATGGTTGATTTTGAGGGTAATCTAGGGATGATATTATGCGTTCAATAAAAACTCTGAAACCATTGGGAAATGGATTTGAGATCCTGCAAATAGGAAGCAGAAAAATGGTGATATCTGTACCTCGTGAATTGAACGTTGATCAATCGTCGCTGTTAACATTAGCTCAAGTAAGGTTATCATTTATTATTATTATTATTATTATAAATCATTTTATTTACTAGATTGATAGATAACTTAATGGATTATGTTTCAAAAGGAAAGAGGATATATAACAAAAGAAATCGTGGCGTCTTCACTGAGTGGTTGGTCTACAGAGCGTATAAATAATGCGATCGTAAGTAGATTATCGATTACAGGTTTTTAAAGTTTTCGACGTCAATTTTTTTGCTGATGCGCTCTTTTGAAATTTCAGGATAATTTGCTTGCGGATGGTCTGTGTTGGATCGATACACAAGCAAATCCACACGAGTATTGGGTGTATAGTTTCTTTGATGGCATGGATGACGAGAATGTTGAATAGACTAGAATTCTGTAAATTTATTTATTTCGTAATTAAAATTCTATATTTTTTCCTGAAGTTGGAATAATTTTTTTAGCATCTTTATACATGCCGTAGAAACTATTTTTTTTTGAAAAAGTAATTTTGGCAAATAATCTTGGATTTATAATATTTTTATATTTTGAATGTAATTTCGGAATTAGTTTCGGCATTTTTTTACTCGTAAGTGTGGTTCAACTTGCAAACAAGAAATTGCCTTTCAATAGAGAAAAATTGTCCTGCGATCATTATTCGCTAATGACGACGGGCTGTTCCTTTTTTCGAGGAATTACCCTACGATCATTATTTGTTAGGCTTCTTTTGCAATCAATAAGTGCTATTTGTGATGAGCATTTAGAAAAAGCAGAGGAAATACAAAGATCTTTGGTCGAAAGATCCGTTTCTGTTCACATATTGGTGTGAAATGAATGAAAAAATATTGAAGTTTCTAGTAAATGGGGGTTGCTGAAATCCTTCTTTTACAGACAATAAGAACGTGAAAAACTTAAGCATGGAGAGCTGGACCGCGATAAGCTACAGAGGGTGGACAAAAGTTTCTGAACAAAGCAATAACAGCGGAAAGACTAATTTTGAGCTGATCAAGCGCTATATTTTGTACTAAGCACTTAGTACTTGGTCGTGCCTCCCTTTATCGCAATCATAGTTTGGATTTGCTGCTATCGACCAAATTTTCGACAGTATGCATGGGATGATGCTTTTCTTGACCTCAGCCCACAGATTCCAGATCTGGACTTTGAGCAGGCCAAGGCGACACACGCAAGCCATTTTCTGCGTGAAATGTCATCGCAACCTTTGATTTGTGAGAACGAGCATTTTTCTCTTGGCAATACTTATATTATAATCATCCGCAGCAGCAGCACGTCCTGAATCTGGAATTTATTAATTCCTCCCCCCGTTCTGATTGGTTAAGGATATTAAAGGTTAATTTTAGCGTTAGGATTAAGGATTAGGGTTAGGACTGGAGAAAAGAGTACAAATAAAATTGTCTCCCCGACATTTTTTATTAGTGCTTCAAGCCAGGTTTAAGCATTCGTTTTCCGTATTTTTCACCTTTTTAATTTTCTTGTATCGGATTTGTTTTGCCGGGTTGATCATAAATTTCTGCGTCTCTATTGGTTGATTTAGAAGACCCGGTGTGCAGTCAACCATTCAGCGATGGAAATCACTTGTGTCCAATCAGAAATTAGTAAACGCCTGAATCTGTGCCAGGTTTTGTCGATCCCGAGAAATTCTACTGTAAGGTTAAAGGTTGATTTTAGGATAAAGGTCAGGGTTTGAGCGGAGAGCAGGATTACATGTAAAATTGCCTCCCCGACATTTTTAATTAGTGTACCAAGGCGTCTGCTTCTGTCAAAACTTGATGATTTCATATCGATTATATACGAACAGCATCATGATTTTCCGGACAAAGACTAATCACATCGCAAGATCAATGTCAAGTCGCCAGATGAAAAAGATTCAGAACAAACGGTTCTTCTTTGACAAACAGCTTGTATCTTCCATGAAACGGCCTTTATGCTCTAACAAAAAATGTGCCTTGCGAAATTTCGCTATATATCCTCTCTATATTTAGTTAATTTAATGTTCCACTCAAGTTGCTTATACCGGGAGTTTACGGTAAATTAGTTGATAGAAATGCAATAACGATAGTAAATTCGATACAGAACTTTGTTGTATGACAATCATTTTGTCGTTTATTTTTTAAAAAAATGACAAAATCGTATGACAATCATTTTGTCATTTATTTTTTAAAAAGATGACATAAAATCGTATTACTTTAATGGCTTTCATTTGTCAACAACACTGCATTAAATAGAAATTCTTTTGCACATCTGGAATGTGTGCCAGGTTCGTGCCGCAGTCCAATAAGAATGCGATTTACTGGTGGCAGACCAATAAGGATGTGCGAATTTTTGATCAGCAAAAAAATGAAAAATGCGAAAAATACGGGAAATGGATGTCGGTGAGGCAATTTTACATATAACCTTGATCTCCACTCTAACCCTAACTATATATCAACTTTTGGGTAATTTTATTGCTGCGGCACGAACCTGGCACACATTCCAGATGTGCAATTCTTTTTTTGAATGACGTTTTTTAATCATGTTGGCCTGACGCGAAATTTAGTCATTGGCCGGCTAAAGCCGTATTCGAATTGGGTGAATCGTTGCACGATATCGATACTATCTATTTCGTGATACAAAAATTTGTAATAATTTTAAAATAGATGACGAGTCGAAACTTCTGTGACATTCGGAGTTCATTTTCATGTTTTTTTTTGTTATATATGGGGAAATAGTTTAACGAAATTGCTAACAAAATTACGCTTTACATGCTATATGAATAATAACAACAATGGCAGATTCGAATTCTGCATTTTTAAAGAAACCAGTACAACTCGTACAGGATTATATAGTGTATTATAGCGATTCGAATACACCAATTTCAAATGTACAAAGAGATCCGTTAAATAAAACAATTAATGATTATGATGGGATAGAAAATGTTCGGCAAATTTCACATACTCGAGATATAACAGAAAATGTGGTTTGGGTAAGCAAAATCTGGGTTTAATTATAACAGGTATTGTAATGGAAAAATGATGAAACTGAGAACGCGTAAAATATTTAGGGAATTCTTCGCAACTTGGGTAACGGCTGCGGTAAAAACAATTCAATTACAAACCCGATGAATGAAGTAGCGCTGATGAAACGCGGTGATTGTGCATTCGACGAGAAAATCGAGAACGCGAAAGGTCAAGGATTCATTGGGGTGATTTTATATAATAATGTCAGTAGTTCAAATATTTCAAATGTGAATTCCTTGGAGACGGATTTGAAGTCACCGGCCGGATCGGTTTTTATACCTGCTTTTTATGGTTGGCTTATATTTTAATTTTTATATTCGTCGAATTTTAAATTTTTCATTGATTGGTTCTTATTTGTTTCTGCGTAGTTTCCAATGAAATAGGAGTTCAATTACTTTATAGTCTAAACTTTTCATCTAACATTGAGATACAATCAAATCAACAACACTCTGTTAGAGTGAGTTTTGAAAGAGTACCTTCTAATTCACGTGGACCAGATGGTATTACGGGAAATCGATTCACGTATTTTGTCGCAATTTTTATGGTATTATCAATTTGCATTAAATAGGTTTATTTATTTTTCAGAGTAATAATAGTAATGTATTTCAAACTTTTCTTTAGACTCTCTTTGTCGCATGTATGTATCGGATTTCCGTCTCTTTCTATTTACGATGATATCCTTCTTATTCATAGTAAGAATTAGAGTCTATTATTTTTTAGATATGCTATTTAGAACACGTAATCGTCGTCAACAACAAGAGGTTCATCGGATGACTGTTCACTTACCAAATACACTACCGAATACACAAAACGCCAAACAAATCTTATTAGATCCAAAAATTCTTGCTGGTTATCCTTCTAAACCGTACTCCTCTCATAAGAAAACGACAGAATATAATCATACGTCATCGTCATCATCACTACTACCAGCAGAAGTTGACAGCATTAAGACAAAAACTCAATCAATAGCAGAAAATGATGATCAGCATACTGAAACAGATAAAAATGCTGATGTCGATAAAGAACAAGATTATGAAACTTGTGCTGTATGCTTGGACGATTTCGTTGAAGCTGAGCAAGTTAAAGAGTTGCCGTGTGCTCATATATATCATCCGAATTGTATAGGTATGGATAATTTGGTAAATTTTTTTGTGTCATTAATACTCTCTGAAATAATTTTACTTTGTGCCCCCGTCAAAAAAGAGCAATGGTTGACTCAAGTGTCTGGTATTTGCCCAATGTGTAAATATGATTGTGTTAATCAGAATTCGAATGAAACGGTGGAAGAAAATAATGATGCTAATAAGGACGTTGTGATTTCGATAAATGACGGCGAGCCTCCTGTTATTCCCGAATCTTCAGCTCAACAAAGCACATCAGTGATGACAATTAATATTGCTGCTGATTCTCCTGGAGAGTCTTCAGAATCCAAAAGATCGCGGAAACTAAGAACTCGGGAAGAGGATAATGATAATAAAGAAGAGAAAGATGACGGCGTCCATAATGTTGATGTGGGCACTAGCAATATTACCACGGATCCGAATGAGCATGCAGGAGATGAAATGACACGACCTGAAAAGGTCTTGACCGTCACTCAATTATGACATTGAATTTCATAAATTCAACTTATCATTCAACTATCAAATGATATACAAAACAATCTTCTTATTCTAAAAAATACTCTTACGTATATCACAAAAAGGTAAATTGAATCAATTTATTAACAAAAAAAATGATTGATTTGATTATTTTCTCATGTCAAATTCAAATAATCCCTTTCTTTCTGGTGTGTTGCGACTGGCGGGTTTTGTGTATAGCGATATTTCCTCGTTAGGCCTTCGATGTGTAGAAGGTATGAGACCTTTTTTAAATATATAATATTATTATTGTTCAATTGCATCGGAAAATCTTCAAGGATATCAAGTTCTTACCAAACGATCGTGCGCGTTTGATGGCCTTAGCTAATCGACGTTGATTTTTGGCCGTTATACCTTGTGTAATAACAATATTTATCGATTAATTGGATAATTCACGAGACGACGATGCGGGACGCCTTTTTTTAATAATTATCAGTTAGTGAACATACAACACCCACCTGTTTGGGATCTTGGCAATATTTTTCCCATGTCGGATACAAAGCTCGATAGTAAATTGTAATTCTATGTATTATTAATATCATATTTTATATGTATTATAGATTTTAACTTAACGATTTATTTATTTAAACAATTATAAAATACCTTATATTCTTTCAATGGGTTTATTCCCAATGCATTGAACACATCAACGGTAGGTTTTGGCTTCTCCAAGTATCTTCTTCGTTGTACATTAACATTCTCGCTTAGATCCGATGGTTTGTAGATCTATGAGAAAATTAATGTTAAATCAAAAAATTGAATTAATAAATATTGATAACAATAAAAAATTACTTGGCCCGGTTGAAACGCTTTCACGAATCTTGATCGATTTTCAGGTTGTCCAGCGATTCCGCCAGGTTGCCCTGTGAGTCACATTTTGTAAATCGAAAAAATTCATTCCATCGAATATGTTCTAAAAATGTTTTTTCAATTAACACATCACGTACTATTTATTGCTGAAGATGCACGAAGAATGTTGATGATCTTTTCATGAGTATCTGTTCCTGGTGGTTTATCAGAGCTGTCTTCTTCAACTACTTCACCTTCTTTAAATAAATAGAATGACAATCATAATAAAATATTGAATCGTTCATTGGTTAATCATTTATTTACTAAAAGAACAAGCGTATATGAGAGGTCATAGACTAAGTTTTCATTATTTGCCTGCTTTTGGTTCTTTACTAGCCCATCGAGACGACTGTAAGAATTTACGCTGAGTCTTTAAAACGCACGAGTAATGTTGAGTGAATGATATACTATTAGCATTCAAATTAGTATTGGAGGTGGTAGCCCTAAGGGTAGCAAGTGAAGATAGATTTTGCCGTAATCTGAAAGGTGTGATAAATTTTTGAGTAGTAGTGAGGGTAGTAGCAAAGAGCCTCGTTCTCATTTTTTAATCTATTTTGCATTCGCACAAATTTATTGCTAATTTAATTTAATACGAAATCAGTTAAGATCTCCTCTTTCTTTTTTTTATATATAATGATAAAAAATTACTCATTCAATATGAAAATTAATAAACTTTTTTATTCATCGAAAGAATAGTGATTATTATTGACCAAAAAGTCCGTACTTTCTACAAATAATAGATTTTGGTTTTTCTTGCAGCTCTCTTTGAATGATAATTTCGTTGTTTGCCTTGCTCGTTAGTTTGCTGATAGCAAAAATGATCCAGAAGTTTCCCAGATGGAACCATTACATTTGGAGTTTTGTTTTTGTGTGGTTGGGATAGGGGTGACTGATGTTTCTACCAAGGAAAGGAATGGCTAAAATACAGGATTACAATTACTCACTCCAGCACTAATCATCGAACCCGAAATTCCAAATGTGCCTCGTCAATCAATAACTTTCACCGATTTTACCTACACCTTTAGTAGGCGAGTACCACGTGAAGGATGTACGAACGCCGGGGTCAATAGAGACAGCACGAACAGAGCTATCCGCTTGGGTTTCGCGGAGCTGTTTTCGCGTCTCGTAGACCCAGGAAACTTCCATTCATTAGTTTGGCGAGTGTAGGTGAGCTTGCCATCAGACATAATCCTGTGAGGAACGGGCCACCTATTATGCCTTTTTTTTCAAAATGAAGAAACCACAACGTCCACCATTATCCAGAATGGTAACGGGATTGTGATGATATGCGGCAAACATCGACGGATTGTGGAGATAGCATAGAAACGGTTCCACGTGGATTTCGAAAAATTCTGCGCGCGAATTGTCATCGTTTGTCGCAAATCTTTTCAAGATCGAAATGATAGAGATCGTCTTGATGAACCTTGCCGATTCGCACTTAAGCCTTGCCGATTTACGTTTTTCCCTTGCCGATTCGTGTTGGATTCTACATTACGTCTAATTACCTCTTCCCTAGTAATCAATGCTTCATCAATCGCCTCATCGATAATATTCGCAGGCGCCTTGCCGTGCATACCATGAAGCAGCATTCCAAGACGCACAACGGTTCGTACGAACTTGCGCTCACCCCATATTGCAGATTTTTGAAGTTTCTTGTCTTCATGACTCATTAGCGTCTTTCTTGCCCGAACATCTGGCATTACTAAGCAAAAATTTCCAGCGGTAGTTCGGGATGTGAATCTTAAACAGCCATGTTTGCTAAGGGATTTTACTGTTCCTTACCCCTAAAATCTATATCACAACAGGATCCTCTTCATTAGAGTTTTGCTCCGCAAAACTACTTATAAAACTATCAATTCCAGACTTAAGTTGTGTTCACTCAATCATCCGATGGTACTTGGTGCAGAGTACTCATCCAAGTTTTTCAATATAGTGTAGCCTGGATTCAATTGGAAGTATGAATAAACTCTAAGCGCCGTTGAAGTTTTCTGCTTTACATTATGTGTTGATACACGTACATTTTCTTTTATAATTTCATAACGATAAAATTCCTTGGTATACTTTTAGATTTAAGTATGTTGCATATATCAGATGTCATGAACCAATACGAAGCAAGCAATAAAAAGAAAAAATTATTAACGGTAAAGTTTATTAACGTTAATAATGACCTTAATCGGCATAAAAGATTGCATAGCATATAAGTTAGTTAATAATTTAACATGAACTATTTTTTAGTTTGACTTCTTGGTTCTTCTTCTTCTTTATCTGGCACTTTTAAAGATTCAATCATTGTCAAAAATGCCTCCTCTTCAATTTCACTTCGCTGATTTTTCTTTCTTTTTTTCAAAATTTTTTGTTGTGTTGTTTCTTTTTCTTGTTGCAACGGTTCTTGATGATCATCTAAATTATTTTCGGTAAGATTTTCACTACCAGACCGACGAAGATGCCGAGGACCACGACCATGAAGATTGAATAACTAAAGAAGAAAATAAAATTAAAACAATAAAAAGACTTTTCCACGAAAAAATACACTAAAAATCACCTCACGCGTTATCCTAAACAAATTTCCATAATTCATCTCTCTATCATGGCACTGCATGCCATTATTTGGATTTTTACCCCATTGTAATCCTATGTGTGTGTGTGGTGTGTGGTGTGTCCTTTTTACCGGTTGATTGATTGATGCTGCTGTTTTGTGTGGATATATATATAAAATACTCAGAAAAATGAAAAATAGTAATACTTCGTGATCTTGACTCGGCTAGAATCCGTATTAGATGTAGATGTGGATCTTTTCTTTTTCGATCCTTTTCCAATTCATTCATAGATTTGTAATCTTCGTAATCATCATCATCATCATCACCACCACCGCCAGCATTATCTTTTTTTAGTGCAAAAATGCGAAATTATTAATAACATTTGTAATTAGATGATAATAAAAAAAGTAAACCGTACTATTTTCTTCTTGATTGTTGTTATTACTATTATCATTACTATCGTCATGATAAAATCTAAAATATTTTCGTCTTTTGTGGTTGATTGTGCGGTGGTAGCTGTCTATAGTAATAGTGATATATGAATATTTTGTCACAAATGGTCGCAAATTCGATAGACATCGACACATTATTATGAATGAAATTTAATCTGATCTGATCGTATATTATATTATTATTGTTATGCACAGTAATCATGTATTCAGTTTTATATACCGGATTCGGATTAACAGAAGATTTATGTTTTTTCAAGTCCATAATTCATAATTGTAAGAACAAAAATTAACTTTTAACTAGACAGGTAGACAAAATATTAATAACAAGACAATTTTTTATATATATTCTATTGGAGAAAATCGTCAAACGACTGCCCCACAAGTTTCTCAATAATACGAATCAACTCTGCATTAGACATTTCCACTCGCTGGTCGTCATCTTCCGTTAATTCAACCAGATGCGGCACAGCCTCCGGAAAGAAATCCGAGAACGCTTCGCCCAATTTCTCGTAAAGTTCACGCATCACGCGTAATGCACCAAGACGCACTTGCACCGAGGACGTGCGCGGATGCATATGTAAAAGAACCTGTTTGTGGAGTAAATCCAGTTTCTCGGGATCATCGAGGTTATTGGCTAGTTGGACGAGACATGGCATTAGATGTTGGGTGATTCTGTCCTCGTATTGTTCTTGATGTTGGTGTTCATGGTCAACAGAGCCAAGTAGTTGATCTACAAGTGGATGCATGATGTTTTTGTATTTTTCGGTGGTTTCGAAAACTAAACAATCGATAATGTTAAAAGTTAGTATTTTTATGCAGAGAAAATTTACGTTGGCCGAAATTTTACCATTCTTTTCATGCATGAAATATTTTTGTAACGAATCAACAATATAATTCCATAAATCGTCGAATTGCCTTCGACCTTCTTTATAATCCTGTAGCTTAGCGATACAGATATCCACCACCGATCGGTAATACGGCGAGAATATATGCTGGAATAAGAAAAGATTTTCTATATTTAACAATTTACGTAACAAAAGATCAAACCGCTTAATTTTATTATTACTCACTTGCATCTCTTTTAAGAGATGATTGATTAGTCGGAATAGGAAAGTAAGTCGATAATCGATATCTTTAATACAAATAAATCATCAAATGATTTATGTTAGATGAAAATTTGGTTAAAAGACTAAATAGAGATAAATTGCTCTCACCTGTTCCCAAAGAAGGATCTGTTGTAGCCCAGTCAACCATCCATAAAAATAACGGTTTAAACAAATCCTCGTTTAATTTCAGGAGGAAGTTATAAAAAACGGAAATAGCTTGGTCTTCGACTTTTAGGATCTCCTGGAAGAAAATAAGGTAAAAAAAATTAGCAACGAAAATATTGATATGCGCACAGTATAAGTTTTCGTAATACATACCTCCAATTCATGATTTTTATGCATGCGCCGATAATCGAAAGGAAGCAGCAAGAATTTGAAAACATCAGTTCTGTAATCTAAAAGAACCTCTCCTTTTACCGAAATAACCATCTTTTCGAGAACTTTTAATAGCAATATTATGCTCTAAAACCACCGAATAAAAAAATGAGAATTAATTATCTGTAATGATTACTTCGTCATTATATAAAGTTAGTTTTTAATCTCACCCCCGTGCCAAATTCCACAACTTTTTGGTAAATATCAAAATATTGTGGAAGTAATATTCGCGGTTCAATATTTGTTGATATACTAGTAAATATATTCTCGTAAATCTCAATAATGTGCTCTTTATCGTATTGATCTTGATACATGGCTGGATGAAGAAGGTATTCGAGTAGCTGAGGTAAATATGGGGCGACGAAGGACGGAACGTTGGTGACGATAGCTTCGAAAGTAGCAAGTATTGCCATATTTAGCTGATGGTTTTCTGATCCTGGGTCTGATAAAAAAATACAAAAATATTAAATATTATGGTGGGTCATGGAAAAAGAGAATGAGACATAATTTTTGTTACCGTTTAACGAAGATTGCAATAGATTCAACAGCTGTGGCATGAGTTGAGGTAAAAAGGGTACAATTCTGAGTCCAATTTCATGGCTTTGAATAAATTCATATTAGTCAATTAATTCAAGCGGTCACAAACAGCAAAAATAATTAAGATATATACCAAATATGCGCCAAACAAGCAATACTACTAATTCGCAAGTTAACATTTTGATGCTGTAAGACAGCCTCACTTATAACGGGAGTTACACATTGTGTAAACAATTCTTCGTTTCCGCTGACAAAGCGGTGTATGAAACTGGACAAGCAATTCATGGCATTTTGTTTGCAAATAAGATTTTCTACGTTTGTGCCCTCATTGTTTGTAGCAATCAGCGAATTGAGGTCTGATAGAATTTCGATGATTTGTGTTGATGGTTCATTATTCAGGTTGTTGTTGGATTCATAATTAATGAGATGTTCGTGTAATAGCGTAATTGCTTTTGAACGAATCTTTATATATATTGTGATTGGAAATCAATTGATCGTTTTTATGTAGAAGAAATCCAAGATTAAGAAACTTATTACTTACCTTCAGATCGGTATGATTAAGTAACGCTCTAGTGATAGAGACAAACGATGGATTTGGTACAAGTCCATGAATTGTGAACAAAACACCCGAGATCGACGTAGAAATTTCTAAAGAAAAAAAATATTAGTTATTTCGAATTAGAAAAAAAGAATCGTAACACTATAAAAGATTTACCTTTAATCATGTCAGCAAGAGCAGACGATGAACTCTGATAGCTTTCCAAATCCAAGGAAAGCTTCAACATTACTTCCGACAATTTCAAAAATAAATCCTGAATCTGAGTTTGATAATTCATATCTTCATTTTCCCACTCAAGAAGCCCCATCAGAAATTCATCTTGGGTAAAAAGACTGTTGACAAATTTCACGGAAATATTTTTTAGATGAAGGATGTTTGCTGTGGTTTGGCCACTGAAGAAATCGCATATATTAGGGTTAATGTTAAGAATATCAATAATAACATACAATTCATCGCACTTACTAAATTTGAAACAAGTAGTCATCGATCGGGATTCCATGAGTTGGTGATAGTTTTTTATACCGATGTTTGATATTATTTGGCAGTATTAACAACTCTTCAAATAAACGAATAACCGATCGTATTTGAGATTCCAGTGAGAATTGTTCCATAAGCGTAAGACATAGTTCACTTATATAACTAGCTTCCAGAACTTGAAATTTTCCAGGTTGCGGAGTACATGCAGAGGATAGTAGCATTCCAGTGATTGCATATAAGAAATCATTTTCGCCGAGTGCTTGGATAAGTGTAGTGAGGATACTAAATAAATATTCTCAAAATATATTAATTCTATTTGTATAACTCACGGGTCATCTAGCAAATGTGATTTATACGTACGGAACTCTCCTCGTTCTTGGCATACGATCGATCGCGTATACGAATATTCCCAGGATTTCTTTCGCTCCTATACATAAATATTCAATACAGATTAGAATTATCATAACGTATGGTAAAGAGAAAAAGGACTTACTTAAGGCGGGATTAGAACTTGCTGCTTCACGATTCGATTGTTTTTCTTTTTGTTTGATAACAACCGGCAATACTAATTCCATCGTCTAGATAAATAATCGATAATATGAAAATTTTATAACCAAAATTAATAAATTTAAATCTCCAAAATAAATATTAAACTGGTCTTTTTTATACATACATGACGAATTATAGAATTAGAATACTCGTTGTCCTGCTGTAACCCAGTTTCTTCCAAGAACGCGGTAAATAGTGGCATAATTTTATTTAGTACGTATATAGGTTCTAGCACGGCTACAGCACTTATAAACAAGAGACATTGATTCTGAATTTGTGAGTTTCGAGATTCTAAGAATTAAATACAAATATATTTTACTATTAGCAAAACAGAATCTCGATATAAAGTTAAATGGGAAGAAAGCTTTATATACCTAAAAGATAGTCGCCAACTATACTAAGATCTAATTGATAATATAGCTGCGCGTTTGTTTTCCGTGTCTATGATTGTTGTCGTAAATTTAGTGAATAACGTGTACTGAAAAGATAATTGTAAAGCAATGAAATACAGAAAGGAAGGCGACTTACAGATATTTTAACTATTTCAGTTAATCTTCCGAGAATCAATTGGACAATAAAGTCCACTGAAATACTATCATCACTTAATTTATACTTGAAAAGAGTAGTCAACAATGCAAAGAAACTAGCGAGCGATGAGACTTCATCGATATCAGGCTTGGGCTTGCATTGAAGTAGTTCTAAGATGGTTGATAATCGATGTAAAGGAAGAATGTGTTTGGATGTTTGTGGTGCTAGTTCTTTTGTATTTGCCTTTTCTTGAGTTGATTCGGTTAAAACTCGATCGGGTGATTCATCTTGCCTGCGGATTAACAAAAGCAATAGATAAATCATTTATTCTAGAAAATTTTTTTTAAAAATTTTGTGCATTCAGTAAACGTACTGATATTCATGACGTGCACGCTTTGTGTTGGGTTCCTCGAATTGATCTTGAGCGTGTTTTTTCGAGTTGTTAGCTTCATTTTGATGCGCAGTTTGAATATCTTCAAGATTTTTATTAATGTCCGATAACTCCTTCTGAACTAATTTCGCGGGAATAGAGATGCGTTTTAGAGCATCCTTGCATTCTTTTGTAAAATCCTGCTCATCATATACAATTGTTATTAATATTTATTTATTAAAAAGGTACAAATGTAATTGTGAATGAAGAAACCAAACATACATAAGAATCAGAGCTCGTGGCAAAATCCAAGATGGACGAGAAAACATCTTGTTGCTTTTCATTGGTCAGAAAAGCAAATAATTTACCACTGATTTGAGACAATGCAGCATATACAATAGGTTTTATCAAGCCGTCCGTATCTTTTTCATCTGATAAAGTCAATGAAAAGAATTAATCCCAATTTCAGTTTGAAAATTGAAAATTAACAATTGAACTTACTTCCAGATGGTGCTTTACTTTTCAACAAAGACACGAAAAAAGTTGAATATTTATCATCCTTATCCAATAAAGAAACGGATTTTTCTGTAAAGCATCTAATCAATAGTTCCATCAACTTTATACTAAACATATTTCCTGTATCTTGTATATTATTGACAATAAGTGCTAGCGTATCCTCCATAAGAGGATACAAAGTTTTCAGTTTTGCTTGTGAATCGACTAACGAAAGGATCTCGAGAATCTTAATTCTAGCCACGGTTTCACTAAACGCTTTCACATGCGACAAGAAGAATGATAAGAGGCGTTTGTTATCGTTCTTTTCCTCGTTCAGTTCTTTAGCGACAAACCTCCGTATGTAAGTATGGTCTCCCAAAACCTCATCTCGATGACCGATCAGATCCTTTACGAAATTGGAGATAACTTTACGACTAATAGTAAGATCTTCGATTTCCCCTATTGCAAAAAATACTATTTTCAATGTTTTTCACAAGGTACGAATATCCGAATATTTTGCCACTTTCTTATTACCTGATTTATTATCGTCACCATAGAAATCAGTAGTACCGAAAGTATGCACGTTTTTTTTTGAAGCTTTGCTTGTTCCGTTGATTTCAGTGTTTTTGGGTTTATCTTTTGAATAAACAGCATAGATCGATTCTAGACACGATAGCGCAGATTTCCGAGTCGCGGGATTGGGGTCAGTAAGTGCGGTCATCAGTGATGGTATTATTAGTTGAAAGTCGATTTGAGACGAAGTCTCGGGGCGTGTGTAAGTACAGATATAAGCATTGGCGATCTGAAGACTGCGTATTTTGAGTATATCCGAAGCTTAAGAAATCGTGGAAAAACAAGTAAGATCATCATTTCAGGGAATTCGAAATTTTCTCTAAAAATATGAGAACTTACACTCGTCTGTTATCAAAATATTACAACAAAATTGAATTACATCATCAGAAAAATGTGTGACGAAAAATTGCTTTATTATAATATCAGTGCAATTAATGTCCGGTCCAGTAATGATAGCTTTAAAAAGATCTACAAGGATAGTACGATTCTCCTAGTGCAGAAAGATTTAAGATGAAAATATTAATGGACATGGCATTATATAGATCTAGATTTTTGTTATATATACCTCTTCCTGTTTCTTTAACCAACTCATTTTATGTCCTGTTATCGGTTTGAGCGAAGACACAAGATTCATTAGAGTGAATACTCGGAGCATAGTTTCGGTGGCAGACGATGAAATGTTGGAGATTATTTCCGAAACTAAAGTTTCTGGTGGAAGACCCTAATGACAAACATTCTAGTTAGTTGCTTAAAAATGTCAAAAAAATAAATAAATAATATACTTACATCTTGCACAATAAAATTGCAATCAGGAGTATTTTCATTTTCGTTTTTGGGCGAACTTAGATTTTTTAAAATATGCGCCAATAATTTCGTGACAATCCGCAATTTTCTATCTGTTGAATTTAAAAAAAGTAAATATTTCGATTAGTAGATTGTTTTAATGTGATAAAATTCCTACAGTGTTTTTGCACTCACCTCCTTCGAGAAGAGATGCAGCTCTGTTGAGAACAAGTATCGTAAGGAAACAGAGCGTTATAGAGTCACTTTGTAGTGCTTGCATATATACTTCAATTCCGCTTTCAATATTACGGCAAGACGCCAAATTATCTTTTTTAATTAAAAAAATCCAATTAAGACATTGCATCAAATAAAAAATCTAACATGTTAGAACGGGGTACTTACCTGACAAAATCTTTATTATGCTAATATTAACGCCAACCAATCGACTATCATGTTTAATAGAACTAGATTTTCCTTTTCTATCATGCTCAAGCAGCTCGGCAACTTTCTCAACTCCATTAACAAGATCCACATCTTGCAATGTTCCCAATTTCTTTAGAAACTTTGCGCTCTGTTCCTTGTTTTGTTTGGTGACAAGTAGATTTTTTAATAGGATTAAAAGTATATTTGTATCTGAAAAATCATCATCTTTAGGATGATTGGATAGAGTCCAATAATGTTCAATTAGAAAATTGTATATTTTTGATTTTGTTTCGCTTGTGTACATTGGCGATTCGATAATTTCCATGAGAGATTGAAGCAGTTTTGTAATTGGTATATATTTGATAAGAATTTGTGGCACAGTCAATAAAAGGTTGAAAACGTCTTCGTTGTCGTCATGTAGACGTGCGAGAAGCGTGGATCTTATAAATTCAGTTGACTAAAAGAATTATTAACATATATTCCTTTAGATTAAATATTTTTATAATAAATATATCTATGATAATAATTTGCTTACATTGTTTACAAATTCTGAATCTTCATTTTGTATCATTTCTACCATTTTTCTGAAAGCGACTAGTCTTATATTAGGTTCTGCATGATTTACACTCAATAACAGCGTTGTTCCTACTTCGGATATTGGTTCGTGTACGGTTTTCTATAGAAATTCAATAATTCATTAGAGAAAATTCCGTGATAAGCAGCAGTCAATATTTACAAATTAAATTTACCTTATAAGTATCGGCCACAAATTTATATAGTGCATCGTTGATTTCTTTTGAGGCACCAACATTATTTTGATTTATGGTCTGAAAAATAATAACCACTATAAACTAATGACACTAAGCAAACCGTTATGAAGTCAGTCAACAACTGGTTTATACCTTAAGCTTAGATTCCAGTGCAATACCCAATTCAGTCGAGTATTTTGCTTGTAATAGCCTAAGCAAATTTTGTAGCATTACGACATCAAGATTATGTCGCGCTTTCTTCTCTGCGATATAAAAATCCATTATGGATGAACATATGATTCCGACGATGTATGGAGAAATAGGTACTTTTTGTAGAGTTTTGATTAAAAAATCTGCGTCGAAATCTTTTTTCAGTAAACGTGAGATGAAAGAAGTAAAGAATATTTTCAAAAATCTATCCATTTGATATTTCTCCGAAATTTTGGCCAGGTGTGCTTCCAAATCTCTATTATTCGAAGAAAATTATTATAAATCAATAAAATCTGGCAATCTTAAAGATATTCAAATTTAATGTTAAAAGAACATTAAATAGTGCACTTACGGAAACTTCTGGAAGCGTTTCGTGATTCGGCTGGAAAATTTGGTAACAGATTCTTGTGTTTGACATATATGCACAATACATAATAGTGAATGTAACTCTATCTGAGGATTACTTTTTAGAATCCGTAGTATCAGTCCTGATACTGTATCAGATGAAAGTTCTGCCTTGTTTGTAATTTGACAGATAATCATAAAAGTTCCGATCTAACGAAGCGACATGATATCATTTTAACTTCATTTATAAAATAGATCTCAACAAAGAAAAGAACAGAAAACAGATATATACCCTTAAATCCGTTGATTTATTTTTTTTGCAGCTATCCATAATATACGGCAACAAAACCGCTAAATTATTATCAGTGAGTTTCGGAATATTTTGGATATAATGGATGATAACTGCCACGTAAAACGATATGAGGGTTTTGAAAGTATGCTTGGAATTCACCGCGATTTCACAGATGAATTGAAGCATCGCGGTGTCTTTGATGCACATTTTTATAAGACTCGCGCGGTCAAGCGGTTGTCGTTTTTGTTGTATTTGTTGAAGAAATGACCATTGATCATTTGTACTTGTGGGATTAAATATCATAAATCATTAATTAATAAAACAACATAAATTATGGAATTTTTTTTCGACCGAGAAGATTTTTATTATTTTATTGTTATTTACATACTTTAGATGTAGAATCGAAACCATTGTCACAAAGGAATATGTTTCATGATATGGTAATATACACGCTAATATGTCGTTCACATTGAATTCGTTAATTCTGTAAAGTACGCGAAAATTCGTTATTATTAAGATGCAAGTTCTAGGAGGTAACGCGAAAGAAGCATATAAATGATTTGATGACCACCTAAACCGACGAATTAGCCATTCAAGGGCTTTCCCAGCCGGTTTTATTAAAAAATAAGGAGACAATAAACTTAGAAAATGGCCAATGCTTTTATCAAGTCTTTCGTTGTCTTCTTTTGTCTATTTGAAATAAAGGATTGATTAGTTGTCTTTTATGAAATCTCAGGAATGAGTATAACTTGACGTACTTGAAGAGTTCGATCAACAGTCTTCATAGACTCGGAAAAAATCGTGTTTTCAAAGTCTACAAACACTTTATCAATTATCTTTAGTTCCTCTAAACCAGAAACTCCAATTGAATGAATTGCGTTCAAATCATATTCGGCTGCCTGTTTTGGATCAAATAAATACGATGCTCGAGTTTTCTGTAAATGAAATAGGTTGCCTTTTAAGGCACTCCCGGAGGCAATATCTTGTAATTGTGTTACTAATGAGCTTGACATTTCGCAAGAAAAAATCCACAGGAAAAGAAATTTTTTCAGTTCTTGCACCACACGTGATGCTTTTATCACATCTCGTGATCATAAATTTTTTAAGTTCGCCAATTGAATTAATTCATCTCCGAACTTCATCTTGATAGCACCCTTTACATTATATCTATTTTTTCTTGAACAAACCGATTCTTCTTTACGCCTGGTTTTTTTCCCTTGAATTCTTACTATTCTAAAATGTCAGATAGTGCTTACTGGTAAGTTTCGTCAGTTTTTTTTTGGATATACGTGCTTTTAACTTCTTTTTTTAACATCATGTGAATGGCTTTCATTAATGCAAATGTTTGGTGAAACAGTCCTGTTTACGCTCCAATTTTTGGTGTTTTAGGTTGTACCTCTGCCATTGTGTTTACCTGTAAGTAACTCCTCTATTTTATGGAGTATTGTATTATTTATTTCTGCAATTTTTTTTCGTAGCTAGTAAATTAAATCAAGCTTTAAAATAAGCTATATCTACCTTTTAAATTATTATTATTATTATTACATTTATTGCAAGCTTAAAAATTGTTACGCCATGAACTTTAAATTTACCTATTCAGAAATATGTGGGATAATGTGGGATATTCAAATATGAGCAACCTGTAATGATTTTTGTTTTAATTTACATTAACAAGGTTTTGGTGCTGCGTATGGAACTGCTAAGGCTGGAGTAGGCCTTTCGAATATGGGTGTTCTTCGCCCAGATCTAGTAATTAAAGCCATTGTTCCGATTATTATGGCTGGTATTATTGGTATTTACGGATTGGTGGTATCTGTCCTGATCTCGGATGGCTGTAAGTGTTTTTTCTTGCTCATATTTGATGATTTTTATCTACTTCATTTACATGATCTCTTTCATTTTATAGTGAAACAAAAAATGCCATTATATACGTATGTGTTTATCCTTTTTTTTAATGTCAAAAATTCACCCGTAATAAATGGATATACTATAAACATTGTTGCTATTTTTCATTCAAAACAGTTCATTTATTCAACTTGGAGCAGGGTTAAGTGTTGGGCTTGCAGGTCTTGCTGCTGGGTTTGCAATTGGGGTAGTTGGTGATGCGGGTGTACGTGCAATAGCACAGCAACCACGTTTATTTGTCGGAATGGTAAGAAAAATCATCGAAAAAAAGAATATAACAGAATTCATTGCATTTGTTGTTATTACACATTATGATTTTAAAAGTTTATTACTAATTAATTTCTTTAATTATAACAGATTTTGATTCTTATTTTTGCTGAAGTTTTGGGTCTTTATGGATTGATTGTGGGCTTGATCTTAAACACTAGAGGCGGAAGCGATGTCACATGTTAAGTGGCGATAACTGAAAAGGAAAAATAGAAACTTGGGTATCTATCTAAATTTGCGTAATAATAAGCGTACTTTTTTATATGTATACATTATATATACACACATGTATTATTTATTTTTATTATTCAGGCACAGATACGGGCAAACAAAAACTTTGTGAATTGATGTATTTGAATATATTGAATCTTTTAGATTTTTTTTGTTGTATAACTCCAGACATGTTTTGTAAGAAGTATTGTTTTCGCGTTTTAGATAAGATTAATTAATGGATGATGGTTGATTACATTATTACTAAAAATAAATGAAATTATCATCATAGCAACTAGATATACCATGTAAACATCATTAAAATTAATTCGACAAGAAAGCAAGAAAAAAATGCTCGAATTTAGTACAATTAATTTAGCATACTTGAGGATTCACTCGTTCAACTTCACATTTATTACAAAATCAAAGAAATAGTGGCAACTATCGCGCCTCAAATTGAACCACTTTTATTAGATTCCCAACACAACAAAAAACCCGTGTTAATTATTATACGGAAAGATAATAAACAGAGTGTGGAAAATCACAAAAAAAATTACTTCTTTTGGTCCTCATTTTGTACATTATACGATGCCCGCATTCCTTGCATCGGAGCGGTTCCTTTGGTTTAATTTCATTTTCAACTCCACAATCTGTACAAGTAGGCCGAATTGTTTGAAATTAAGAAAGATTTAATGAGCCGACATAGAGCAAATTATCAATTTCAAAGTACCGGCGCATAAATAATGCATCTGTTGGGTTGCTTTTTGTTGCGGTGCACTAGGACCTTGGTATTGTTCACGATTCATTTTCAGGTTTTGTGTTCGGTTGAATGATTTTCTGATTATATTTAGTAATTGTCAATTTGAATTTTTATATTGCTAAATTAGGATAAAACTTTTAATAACAAAAAAATTCTATATAAATCTTTTGCAATAATAAAAATTTCACAACTGAATAATTTTACAAATGTATCGTATTAAATAATTTGACTCAAAAAATTAATGACTCGTCATTTTCTTGCTACTAAACCAAAAACTAAATTATTTTTCCAACGAGTTAACTTCAAAATCCTTCCGTAACATCTTAGACATGTATGGACCTTTGAAAAAAAGAGGTTTAAAATTTATAACAATCATTGAACTCAGATAAGTTTTTAAGACACTTACCATCCAATTCATACCCCAATTTTACGTAATAATTCCTTACACCAACACCGCTAATCACACTCATCTTTTCACTTCCATGTTCCTCGCGAGCAATTCTTTCAGCTTCCTCCATTAACAAAGTGCCATAGCCTTGGTGTTGAAATTTCGTGGGATCACGATTGTGCATAGGAACCACAGAACCATAAACATGTAATTCACGTACAATAGAAGTTGGTACTTTAGTGAGTTCTGGACGAAAAGTGGCTTCCGAACATTTTCGTAAGCGAAGTAATCCGATAAGAATATCTTGTTTCGGATCCTCGTATGACAAGAAAGTCTCCCAACCTCCATTGGCCACATAATCACGACGAATCAATTCAACCTGTTTTAACGTATAAATATTTAGGTAACAGACGTATTTTCGAAGCCAGATGCTCTGTTTAGTGCATAATAAAAAAACTTGCCTCCTCTGGCTTCACTTTATTGTGAATATCTACTATTCCAACTTCCCTTGTTCTGACATCACGACATTCAGTACCCAAATCTTTCATTCTGTTTAATGCAAGTTCGCGTAAATTTCCGTGTTCAACACCGGAAGTAACCAAAGGCATTGGAATATCCCTAAAAAATCAATGATAGTAAAGATGAAGCGTAGATCACTCTTTCAATTTGAGAGAAAAATCAACCAACCTTTGCACGCGATAAACACGAGTCCATGGTGGTACTAGAGCTAAAATCCTAGCAATAATATCTACAAGTGCATTCGGTGAATAATTTTTATATCGTCCAGTTCGCCAAAGTTCATAAAGACCTTTGTTAGGAAAAATTTATAATAAATGAGAAATGCAGTCAAGCTTCTTGCACATTATTAATAAAATATATATGTGTTTTAATCACAGGTTCTTAATGCGAAGCAAACCGGTTCCTCTTATAACCAAAGTGGGATATATTTTCAATCCATCTGTACGATATGCAGGATTTTCGAAATATTCCTATAGAATTATAAGATTGCTCCTGTTGGAATAATTATTGATATCAAATTGAATTCATCATTTGTAAAGACTTGCCTTAAATTGTTCAAGATCTCTCTCCATCCCTACATTCGGAAGATCGGGCATCATATGAGAAACTACTTTAAAACCTGTATCCTTTGCTAATTGAAACGACTCTGTGACTGCTTTGACAGTATGTCCACGATTTGTATCACGTGCAACATCTTCATATATACTCTGCACTCCTATTTCAAGACGGGTACAACCATAACGTAACATCTGGCTATTTTTTCGAGTAATAATTTGTAAAGCTAAATAAGATTTATACACTTTTAATACTATATTCAAATATTCGATTTTTTACCTGAGATGTGGCTTCAGACAATAATCTGGACGCGTTTCAATGGTGATGCCAGTGCATTTTGTTTGACTTTGCTCGGAAAATCTTATAAATATAAATAATGATTAATGGAGTTTTTGAAGTTGATATTACACGCATTTTAATGACATACTTCACAGATTCATCAACATCTTCTGAAGTATGCCCAGATAAAGCGTTATGTAGATTTGCAATGAACCAATTTCGGTAATCTTCTGGTAGAGCCATAAAAGTTCCGCCCATTATAATGTATTCAACCTAAAATGACGACAAATCATGTTAAAATCTATAACATTGAGTATATCAATAATTTTTACAAACCTTATCTACGTTATGGCCTAAACTCTTTAATTGATCGACGCGTCCTCGTGCCTGTTCCAATGGATTATATCTGGCACGAATAGCACGCATACTCGTAGGTTCATAGCCAGTGTATGATTGTGTTGAATACTCGAAATCAGAATCAGGACCACCCGGACAATATCTAAGGTTTATTCGATCGATGTAAATATAAAAACATAAACTATCGAATTCAAATAACTAGTCCATACATATGTTATTATCACTTACACACAAACATTCCCGGTCATTGCTATATGAGGGCAACGATGCGGTTTACACATAACAGCCACAACGGCAATCTTTAAATAATTCATCAAAGAAAATTAGTTACCAATAAAAAGCTAAGTATTCGTTTAAATATTTTATACCCCTGAAGCTGTCCGAACTGGTTTGGCCTTAAGTTTTGGAAAAAGATATTGCTTATATTGTTCAGGTATTGCAGCAATTATGTCAACAAGTTTAGGTTGTGTCCCAAGCTTGTTTTTTCGCGAGTATTTGGTTTTGAGGCCATTTAAATTGACGTCTTTACCGGCTTCGTGTGCTGCAACCAAGTCATTAACTATTTCAGCGCAGCATTTCACCATCAGCTCAGCCTTTTTGTATAATAAAAGCGAATAATAAAAAATTTCACAGGAAATGTTGAATTAATGACGATTCTAGTAGCAAAATTAACGAGATCTACCTGAGTAGGGCCTATTCAATAATAGCAAGTAAATTGGGATATTAATGTAGAAAACGTTAAAAGATATTATATTGTCTTATAGCTCAAAAAAAAATACCTCTTTTGTTATTTGTAGCCATGAAACTTGCAAGCAGAATTTCGAAGCTTTGGATACTGTCACGTCGATTCTTGTGACTCCAGTTTTGATCGAAAATTTTGTGTCGATCAATAATTACATAATTAAGGGTCCACTAAAGCCGGGTAGTATCATGTGAGTTTGGATTCGATCCGGATCCAGATCATGTGAACTTCACGTGTTAAGTAATGATTGGCTGAATAATTTTGATCAACAGACAAAGCAAGATAGTTAAACATTCTTTGAATAAACCCACACTAAAAGTATTAATCATAAAGTTGGCAAGCAATTTTACAGTGTTTTTGGTTGACAACAAAAATAAACTGACCAATTAAAAATTTTATTTGATTGTTGTTGACATTGTTTTCAAGACCACTTTCACCCAGACTCCCATTTCATCTGAAATATCAACGAAAAACATAAAATACTCCACTGGATCCGGTCGCGACGAAACCAGCACAGAGAAACTAGACATCCGAGGAACTCTTACTAACCCTAGCCAACACCAGCGATCTCGGAAAAATGCCAACAATTTGTGGTCGAATAAAAAGAATCTTCGTCTTGATTAAACGGATCAAACGAACCCTAGTTCGCAAAATTCTAAACACAGATCGGCGAGATATTGTTGCCTCATGAACCGTCTGGCATTTTGCGATTTTTCATGCGCCGATTTTGGATACCAATAACTCCACCAATATTGTCCCGATTTTGTTGATCTAAACGCAAAAATATTCACCTTAATTATAGGGCGGCTATAGATCGCAAAGATCTGATCATGTGTTCCAGAGATATGGGCGTTCAACAATACCGTATAGAC